AAAAACTTATTATTAATTAATTAATTGTTTAAAATGTATGGTCTGTTTGTTTGTGTGTGTGTTAACCCTAATCATACATTCACTTCAATATAATATACAAATATATTCATCATTGGTTTGGTCGGTCAGTACAACACACGCACACACACACACACCCACACCATCACAACTACAGTCTAATCCATTTTATTTGTGTTTTATTAGAAAAAAAAATTATTTTTTCCGTTTCCATTCAATTTTGATTTTTTGTGAACTATTTTTTGTCTTATTATTATTGATGTTTGTATTGCCGGCATCTTTACCGCCGCCGCCGCTAACAGGACTATCCCGGGCCTCCATCTGTGCCAATACAGCCATCTGTTGTCTGGCCTTTTCGAGCAATTCGTCGGCAGTCATATCGGCCACATGACTGCCATCGCCACCGCTGGTCACGACATCTTTTTTCGCCGCCGCCGTCGCCGACGCGGACGACGACAAAGGTGTCTGTTTTTTGGACCGCAATCGCGGATCGGTTACTGTTTTCTGTACGACAACAGCAGTAGCAGCAGCGGTGTTGGTAGTGGTAGTACTAGTAGACGTGGACTCACTGTTGCCGATCACTGGGTTTTTATTGATTTCAATGATAGTGGTCTTGACTTCTGGTAAGTCGTCGTCGTCATCGATATCCATGGGTTCGTCATCGACGGGTAAGTCATCATCGATGTTGGCGTCTAAATGATAGATAGAGATAAAGACATATAATTATTGATTTTAATTTTTTGAGTGGATTTAAATCAATGCAAACCTTTGCCCAATGTTTTTGATGCAAAATTTTTGACAATCGGATCGTCAAATTTGAAACCCGAAGCGGCAACTGCTCGCAGCCGTTCCTGTTGGCGCTCGATCTCCTGTGTCTTACATTTGACATTATTCAGTATGTCTTTGAGATTGTCGGGTATGTGAATGTCGTTCAACGATGAAGCAAACTGTCCGTCCAGACCGGGAATGGTTGACGATGTGGTGGCGGCGGCGGCGGCGGTAGTGGTGGTCAACGATAAAGATGATGAAGGATTAGATGAGGAGGAAGTCGTCGTCGACGCGGTTGTTGTCGTCAACAAAACCGATTGCCGTTCGGCTTCGGCCTTCTGTGCCTCCAATTGGCGTTTCTGTTCGTCCACTTTGGCGGTCAACTGTTGCAATAGACGGCGCTGTTGGTCGAGATTCGTTGAACTGGCTATAGCTGTTAGCACCGATGTGGTCATCTCTACCGGATTTGTACTGTTGGCTATTTGATCCATTAGGTCGTCAATCGACGACTTAGTAGATGTTTCGGGTGTTACCGATGAGGAAAGATCAACCTCTTCGGGATCGTATGGCTCGTCGTCATCATTGTTGTTATCATCGCCAGCTGTGTTGTTAGCCATCAATGACTTTGTTGTCGACGTTTTTGTTGATATTTTTGTTATTGTTGTAGTCTTTATAGAGGGAATGGGTTTAAACATTGCCGTCGACGATGACATGTGCGGCGGTGTATACGACACGTCATCGTCTTCGATGTCTTTGCTATTGTCGTCGGCAGTTGTCGGCGGCGACGATGACGAAGACATCGATTCGTTAGACGAAATCTGTTGTTTCGGTGCTTTAGGCGGCGGTGTATATGAACGGAACGCGTGATCATTGGTTGCATTAGTAGTAGTATTAGTGGTAGAAGAGGTGTTGGTTGTGGAGGAGGAGGACGACAACGACGACTTATTTGTCGATTTATGCGACAACAAACCGCTATTGTTTGATAGGTTTTGTGCCGCCGATGATGACATCGATGACGGCGCGTGTCGTTTCGTACGAATCAATATACCTAACAATAGGTTCGGCCGATTGGACTTCTTGTCCAAACCTTTTTTTGTATTTTAAAAAATAATTAAAAGACAAAAATTGTTATCAAAAAGAAAAAACATAAATTAAATTTTTTAGTTATATTTTTCTAAATACCCGGTCCGTCAAACGGTAATAGTACATCGGGTACGTCCTTATTGCGCGGTAGCGGTAATATATAGAAATCTTTTAGCCATTTGCCAGTATTGCCGACAACACCGTATCGGCCCCGAGTGTCAAGATAATCGAAAAACGCGTCGTAACCGATTCGGTCATCTTTTCGGGCGACAAACTTTACTAAACCGATTTCAGTTTTCAGACTGTATTTAAGTTTTTTCAGATAATCCAACACTTGTTCGGGTGCTATACGGCCGCAGACTGTTATCTGTTGCGAGACATCCTATATAAAACAATCGGTAATTAAAAAAAAAATAGTAATTAAAAAACTAATTCAATATTTTTGTTGTTGTTGTTATTAATCAATACCTGTGCTAAATATTCGGCTACCGATCCGCTAACTTTTGTAGCATTGGCCGAAAACTTGGCCACGTCCTGCATGAATATCGATCCACGCCATACGGGTCGGGCCACCGATGAACTACTGGGTACTTCGGGCGACGACAATGTTGTTGTTGCCGCAGCCGCTGTTGTCGTCGATGTAGTAGAAGTTGGCTGCTGTTCGCGGCTATCGTCGTCCTCACCGCTGCCACGCAATCCAATTACCGATGAACTAAGTTTTGCCGCTTCCATCAGTATTCTGTTTGCCGAATCGGGATCCACTCGAATACGTTTGGGTGTCGGCCGCGACCGCGTTGTTGCCGTTGTCTTAGACTTATCGGTTAACAAGTGTGCCGTCGATTTGTTGCCGCCGACGCCATCAGATTTGCCGCCACTAATATCGTCAGCGGTTTGTTTGCTGAGACAAATGCGACAATTGTTGGAAAACAAATGAGACCGATGCTGGCCAGTAGTATCCACTGTCGATACGCCCATCAGGTCGTCCAATATGGACGTAACAGGTGTTGCTGTCGTTAGGAGATTGTTGGCTATTGTGGTCGATGTTGTTGTTCCGGTGGCGGCGTTCAAATCATCTTCAGGAAAGAAAAACAATAAAAAAAACGGTAATTATTATAATAATAATACCAACAAAAATTTTACGGTAAATATAATAATAATAATAAATAAAAACAAACAATAAAATCGGTAATTATTATAACAACAACAACTAAATTTACGGTAAATATAATAATAATAATAAATAAAAACAAACAATAAAATCGGTAATTATTATAACAACAACAACAACTAAATTTACGGTAAATTTAATAATAATAATAAATAAAACAAACAATCAATAAAACCGATAATTATAATAATAATAATAATAATAATAATAATAATAATAACAACAAAAAAAAAAACAAACGGTTACCTAATTTTGCTTCGACGGCCTGACCGTCGCTATTGGATTCAATTAGTTCTTCGCCTTTATGTGTCTTTTTGACGATAACTTGATTAGCTTTTTCGGCCGCATCTCGTTTAATCATTTCCAACATCGATATCTTTTCGCGTTCGCGCCATTTGGCCAGTTCGCTTGAGGCCAGTTCGTCGGCCGACATCTGTACCAGACGTTCCGGCGATATTTTACCGCCGATAACCTTACGATATAGGCCCTGATTTTTCTGATCTTTCAAATTGAATATCAGTGACCGATATTTGTTACGGTATTTGCCGGATGTATCCCTATTGAACAGTTTGAATAGTTCTTCTTCGATACGATTGGCAATCTTCTGGATGTCCTGTGTGTTGGGCGCCGATTCGTTTGCTTCTTTACATCTGTTGGTTTTGGTTGGTTTTGGTTGGTTTAATGGCAAAAACATAATGACACCGAAATAATAACAATAATAATAACCGGGAAAAAAAATAAATGAGAAAAAAAAATTTATAAATAAAATAAATATATATATATATATATAATGCAATTTAATTTGGTAATTGAAAATGCTATTATTCAATGACTAATTATAATGAGATAATAATAATAATAATAATAATATGAATAGTGGATGTTATGGTATGGGATATACCGGTAGTATATATATATATATATATATGAGATGATAATAATAATACAATTGAAAACAATTAACAAATAAATAAATTAAATAATATATTATGAGATTCTAAGATATATATATATATATATATATATAAAATAAATAAAGTATAAATTGTAATCAACAACAACAACAAAAAATAATAATTTAAATAAATAACAAATAAATAAAAAGATTAAAAAAAATAATTCAATGATTTTTATGTAAAATGAAATGATTTAATCAAATAATAAGATAATTGAATCTTATTTTTTAAAAAAAATAGAAAATACCTGTTAATCAATGCATCCTTTAGTGTTGTCTTAACATTGGTACGAATGGGATCCACTCCGTCGCCAATCCTGGCTATATCCGATCCGCTGCGGCTATTGCTTCGAACTAATGGCGTCCGATTCGGGCCACTTTTGTCCGCCGATGCCGAATCTTTCTTCGGACTCTTCAGCGGCGACTTAAGACTAGACGAATCGTCACCACCACTACCGCCGCCGCCGTTGCCAATCCTTTTCCTATCGGACGAAGACAACGGCGTTGTTGGTAACGATGTCGGCGTTGTTGTTGTTGTTGTTTGCTTGAGATTTGACGGCCGAAACACTTCGTATGTCGGATTCGACTTAATAAACTCCAATACCTCGCGTTCGGGTATACCGTCTTTACCGGACAGTAGCCGACCGCTTGACTTTTCGACGACAACTACTCGGCGATCGATTTCTTTGATTTTATTGCCCGAATCCGATCGTTCGCGACGATTATTGCGCAACAATTTCAACATTTCTTTAACATGCGATTCAATACAATCGTTGCTACAGTAGATGCTATTGTTGTTGGCGGCCGTCACCTGTCGGCCACAACCGGCCGGACATGGCCGTTCATGAGCGGCCGCAGCAGCCGCCGAACCACCAGTTGTGGACAAACGGCGCGAATCTATCGACAGCTTTCGGCTGCTGCTACCAAACGGCGTATTAGTATTGCTGTTGATGTTATTGTTGTTGTTGGGAGTGCCGGGTGTTGTCGGAGTTGTGGGCGGATTAGTGATCGATGACTTTTTGATGGGTTCGGCTTTGAACAGGTCCTGTACAGACATATCGATGGCGTCTTTGTGTTTCTTTTTATGTTCGGGTTTGCGTACAACGGGAACCACTTTGGATATCGGTTCGTAGTCAACACTGTCTCGATGTTTACCGCCGCCGACGCCGCCACCGGGAGTGGTCGCACCCGACGACGATTCGTCCAGCGATAACGAATCTTTTGACGTTCGTTTTTTGGCCAACAATTGTTCGCGTTTTTTGTTGAGATCTTTTTTCGATGATTTAATCAATTTTTTCAATTTCTCCGACTCTTCCGCTTCCTGATGACGCAGATGTAGTTCGCGTTTTTTTGGCGGCATTTTCGACAGTTTACGGGCGTCGACGGCAACCACAGCCGCGGCCACTACATCGGCCGGCAATGGGGTAATCGGTGATTGTTTCGGTGTTTTTGACTTCTTGTTGTTGTTGGTCTTATCGGACGATTGTTTTTGTTGTGCGTTTTTCTTTGTTTTTTTCGTCGTCGCCGCCGCCGCTGAACCCGTCGATGACGACCGACGGCGGTTGTCACGAATATTACGTGAATTATTATTATTATTCTCGCGAGTCTTTTCCTCTTTTTTCAGAAACTTTTCTCTCGCCAGTCGTTTGGTTTGTGCCTGAATTCGTTCTTTTGCTTCCTGTTTGGCCCGTTTATCGTCCGCTTGCTTCTTCAGATCGTCGCGTTTGACGCCATCGGCGATACCTTTCTGACAGGTCTGACATATCCATTCTTTGCCCTCCTTTTCCCAAATACGACCTACAGTTGTGATACACACAAAAAAATAATAACCAATTAATAAACACCAACAACAACAACAATAGTACAAACCTTGCTGTTTGGTTACGTTAACACACTTTCCGTGGAACCATTCCTCACAGGAGTCGCAGCCAATCATAAACCTATTGTCGTGCGGCTGACGACATATACACCTTTAATAATTGAAAGAAACAAATAAATAAAATAAATAACATATATATATAAAAAATAAATAAAAATAAACCATAGTTTGTCCGGATCGTCATCTGATCCAAAATCAGATTCATTTTCATCGTCTTCATCATCATCGTCGTCGTCATCATTGCTACCATCTTTGTCATCATCATCATCGTTGCTGTCATTATCATCAGCTTCTTCATCGTTATCTGAAGGAATGACAGGAGCTTTCTTGTCATTTGTGGCCTTCAAAAAAAACAAAACCAAAAAAAATCGGTTAAACGGTTCCAAACAAATCCAAGTGATAAACAATAACCACAACAACAGAAACAAACAAACCTTCAGTTTCTTATTGATAACATTATTGCTATTAATGTTTGTCGTCAGCGACCTCTTGTTTGTCGTCCGATTATTATTATTATTATTATCGGACTCTTTGTCCAATTGTTTTCCTGCCGCCGTTACCGTCGGCTGTTGTTGTTTACCAGCAGCTACTGCTGCCGCCGCTGCTGCTGTCGACTGTTGTTGTTGTTGTTCAGCCAGAATACCCAACTGTCCGCTAAAATCTACCTCAACTTCGTCGTCATCCCATCGTTTTGGTTTACGTCGTGTTCGCTGCTGTCGGCCAGTGGACGTTGTTGTTTGTTCAGCGGCTGCGGTGATGGTGGTGGTGGCCACGGGCGTAGTAATGGCATCGTTGCTAATGGCAGCCGCTTTGGGAGTGTTGGCCACAGCCGCCGCCACCATCGGAGCACTAGTATTATGGACACTACTAACAGTTGTCGGACTGTCTTTGGCGGTAAAACTGTTTGTAGCGCCAAAACTACTACTATTACTACCACTAATACTACTACTACTGGCAGTAGTGATGGGAACGACAGGTGTCGCCGCCGCCGTCGCTGCCACCGATGATGGCTGATCTGACAGTAGACTGTGACCACTTTCGACGGCTCGTAGAGCGGCAATCACGTCGTCCAATTCGGACGATGTAGACGGCGCGCACTGGTGGTCAACAGCAGCAGCGGTGACTGCGGCCGCGGCCAAAACATTTGTTGTTGGCGTCAACGGCTGGGCAGATGATGTTTTCATCACTGGTGTCGTCGGATGACTACCACTACCGCTGCCGCCGTACGCAGCCGTCGTAACCGTATCGACCAACTGGGCGGCTGCGACCGTATCGGCCAGTGTAGTCGCTACTGTCGAGTCGTCCAGTGGCGGTAGAACTACCGGCAACTGATGGTTGTTATCGTCGGCCGACGGTTGTTGTTGAGCGCCAACACCAACACCAGCACTAGTGTTCGGTATCGCCATCGCAGTCGTGTCCACCATTGCCGCAGCCGATACATAGTATTCGTAACGGCGGCAATAGTGATGGTCGTGATGAACGATGTCCAATGAGGTCATATTCTGTAACATTGTGTCCAATGCGTCCACTAAATCCTCGGCGATGCCCACGGAGTCCTCGACCATCGCTTCGGTCTCCATCTTGTTATGACATTTGTGTTGTTATTATTATTATTATTATTATTATATTCAATACTAAACACACAATAGGATTGTCCAATAAGGAATAAGGGCTTAACTATTTGGTATTTAACTAGTAATATTGAATTGAATTAAACTATACCGAACTAACAGTACTATTTTAGATTAGTTATTCGTATAGGTATTCTATATATGTTTTAAAGTGTTTCATAGTAATGTTTCTGCTACTATATGTACAATTTTGAGCGCCAAACACATGAGTTATGCCCATTTTACAAGTTATTACTGTATGTTATACAGTACTGTACTATCAATGTGTTTATAATTTTTGTTTTGCAGTTTTTTGAAATACTCATATATGATGTTACGTTTTTTTTTTTACTATAATGGTTTAGTGTTTTTCAATAGATATTACATTGAATAGGAGGGAGGGAGGGAGGGGGTCAATAAAATTAATGTATATAAATTGTGGTGTACGTTTTTAATGAACAGTTTTTTTTTGTTGGTATTATTTAATTAAAATCAATAATCAATTTATTTTATTTTTGGGGATCCATTAATAATAACTATTTCTATATATATATATAATAGTAAATAATATTTTTAATTAATTAAATTTTAGACAAAAATTAATTTTAAATAAAATAAATAAATACTTTTAATAATTTTATTTTTTTTAACTAAATATTGATATTATTAACAATATAATTTAAATTTGAAATTTTTTTTGAACATGTGCATTTTTTATTTGGTCAAAATAAAATATGTAACGTTGTATATGAAGGGGTAATATACTATATATGTTTTTGTGTGTGATTTTTTGATTTTGAATAGTACTGTCAAAACCCATGAGTATATAATAACCCATGAAATTAAAAAAAAATCGATAAACAATAACAATAATAATAATAGACTTTATAAATGTATGGGTAATCTATAGTATACAGTAATACATGTTTTTATACTACAGTGTATATGTACAGTGTGTGTGTTATTTATAATGACATTGACATTGTAAAAATATATAATAATATTTATTATTATTATATAATCAACTAGCTAATAATAATAATAATAATTAAAAATGTGATTATTTTAATTGTAATATATTAAAAATAATCTATAGATATTTTTACACTTTTTATATGATACTCAATTTTTATTATCATACTCATTTTTTTTTTTTTTAAATTATAAATGATATAAATATTATTTTTTAAAAATTTTAATATATATATAAAATACCAGTGAATCTCCAAGTTTTTTATTAATAATTTTATATTTTTTATCATGTATTTGATAATTTGATCTGTCTAACTTTAATAATAATAATAATAATCATCATAAATTTTTTTTTAAAAAATACTAATTATATTTTTAATGTTTATATTGTAACCAAAGATTTTTTATAAAAATGTTTTTATTAAAACAAAATAATAATAATATGATATTATATACAGTATTAACTAAAACTTAAAAAATTTTGTTATAAAATTATTTTATTTTAAATATCATAATTGAATTGACAGTTTGCTACTTATTTTTGTTTTGTTTTTATTACTAATTGTTTTTAATAAGGAAGTGTAATATCATATATAAATAAATACTTAAATTTTAACCAAAAAAAAAATTAAAAATAATACATAGTTATTATTATAATTTAAAAAAAAATATTTGCGATATCATGTCTAATAAATAATTATTAATAATTAATAATAATTACAAGTGTTTTATATATATATATATATATATATATATATATAGACATAAATTTATTGATAATTATTATCAAAAATTTTTGTTTAATATTTTGTGTTTATTTAAAATTTCAAATTTAATTATCAATATATCATAAAAACCAAACAAACAAAAATTAATATATAATGTCTAATAATTATAATAACTATTTAAATGATTATTAGTAACTACACGTAGAGAAAAAAATAATTTTTTTTATAATTTTTTTCTCTCAGTGTATAATAATAATAATAATGAAAGATAATAGCAATTCGTGGCACACATTGAATGGCAAACAGTTAGCTATCGGTAAGTGTGATGATAATGATTGCAACAATTAACTTAGTTGACAGTCATTATTATTAATGTTGTAATAATTGTCTATAAATTAAATCCAAAACTTATTAATTGTTTTTTTTTGTTTTGATTTTTTGAATTTATATCATATATTGACAGCCATTCATAACTTTAGACACCAATCCAGACATTGTCTTGAGCTCTGTGTCGGCGATATTGTCGTCATTTTACAAGAATCTAATGGTATGACTGACGTCTCTCTCTCTCTTTCTCTCTCTGCCTCTCTTTCTCTCTCTCTCTCTCTCTGTCTCTGTCTCTCTCTGTCTCTCTCTCTGTCTCTCTCTCTGTCTCTCTCTCTGTCTCTCTCTCTGTCTCTCTTGATATCAATAAAAAAACACACATTTCTTCTTACAATTTGATCCACAATGTCATCAATTAGGTTGGTTTCGAGGATATTCCCAACGAAACTGTTGTAAAATTGGTATATTTCCCGCACATTATGTCCACATCAAGACTTATGGCGGCAAATATGATAACAAGAAATGGTAACCAAAAAAAAAACAAACAAAAAACATGAATTCAATGATATATCTCTTCTGTATGAATGGTATTAATTGATTGATTGATTTCGTGTTTCCTCAAACATAGTGATAACGGCTCACCGCTGGACGATCCGTTGGCCCGCGAAGTGGTGGCCACACTGCGCGAATGGCATCACAAATGGCGCGATCTGTATCTGAAACGAGACTATCATCGATTCGAGGCCATACGCGTAGCGATGGTCGAACTGATCGAATGGCGCAAACAACTGTTGTCGTCGTCGGTCACAACCACTACCACCTGTACGGCCGATATTGGCCGTACACTACGCCAGCAAATAGTCGGCAAACTTGACTGGGGTAACGATACACTCGGTCTGGATTTTGTTCCGCGGACGCCAACCGGCGAACCAGTTGAACCCGAATCGCGATCACCGCTGGAACTACTCGACGCTCATTTGGCACACTATTCCAGCGGCAGCGGTGGTGGTGGTGGTAGTTCATCGTCGGCCGACAGTGTCCACTCGCTATCGTTGAGTAGTATCGGCCGACATCTGCCCGACGTCAAGAATGTCAAGAAGAATCACTTTCTACTTCAGTTACGCGAAACTAATTTCAATGGCATCGATGATAGCAATCAAATTCAAATGGATTTTTCGCTATTCGATGGCAACGAATATCTGACCGAAAAGTTTTGCTACAAACCGAATGCCAAACTCAGCCGAGTTGTGTTTACCGATTTATCAGCCAAAACATTGGCCGCCAACGGTAGCGCCGGTAGCGGCAGCGGTGCCGACGGCCTGCAGCTTTGTGTCCAGGTTTGGCGTTTCGGTAAAATGTTTGTCAACGAACGATCGGGTAAATCGGTTCAGGGAACCGGCCATTTCAAACGGGCACTGGCCTTCAATATGGTACCGATTGCCGACCTGATCCGAGATTCGGACGTAGCGTTGAAACTCTACGAGGGAGATATGGCATCCAATTACGACATACTGGTGCGCAAACAGACCAATAAGCTGACCCATTGCCAGAACGCCTACATCAACATCAGCTGCAAACTGATGAGCGGCGATGAACTGCCGCCCCATTTGCTGGAAGCGCCCAACACTTGCGTAGCGTTGACCCGTAGTTTCGGCGACATTATAAGTGCCGGCCATTTTCGAAACGATTTCTATTTGTCCATCGAATCGGCCGAATTCGAAAAAAGCGGTAAAACAATACCGAAAAATATCGAAGTAACCACTTGTCTGGTTACCGACGAAGGCATACAGGATAAGGCCATCAGCAACGGTGTCAACGACGATAGGCATACCTATCATCGGTCGCATGTCTTGTATCACCAGAATTGTCCGAAACTTAGCGAACAAATGAAAGTCTATGTACCGCTGGACTTGTTCGAGGCCGCCCACATACGGTTCGAGTTTCGGCATTGTTCGTCGAAGGACAGGGACCGAAAACTACTGGGGTTTGCATTCCTACCGCTGGCCAATCCGATGGGCGCCTGTATACCCGACGGCGATCACGAACTCTATATCTACAAATGCGAAGACATCCGTAAATTGGATAACGTTAACGACTATATATTCATACCGTGGGGACCGAAGGACGCCCAGTGCGCCTCAACTTCGGGTTTGTTTGGCCGTTCACCGAAAGAGCTGTGTCACGTACGGACGTGTTTGGTATCGTCCAAACTCACCCAAAACAGTGATTTACTGTCGCTACTCAAATGGCGCCAGAATCCCGAAGCCGTTAACGATGCGCTTCAGCGGGTAATGCGAATACCCGGCGAAGAGTTGGTCAAATTTTTGGAGGACGTACTCGACGCTCTGTTTTCAATGTTTGCCAACAACGACGGCTCAACGACCAGCCATTCGGGACTAGTATTCAAAGTGTTGATCCATATATTCACTACGTTGGCTGAACCGAGATTCAGGAGCTACGAGCCGGCACTCGATGTCTACATTGAGTCCCAGTTTAGCGCAGCACTTGTCCACAAAGGGCTGATATCGTGTGTAAAACAATGCGCCGAAATGGTCGGCGATTCGCACAAACGCGAAGCCATATTGAAATGTATGCGCGTCTTGTCGTGGCTGATCAAATTTATTATACAGTCGAGGATATTGTTTACACGGGCCACTGGTCACAATGATGATAGCGATAGTTTTCGGTCGGATATGTTTGCACTGTACGGTTCGCTGAATCGGGTGCTTACTATCGAAACTAAAGGTATGATTAGAGATTACCGATAGATGTTTATTATGGATATGTTGCTGACCATTGTTGTGATTACCCCCCCCCCCCCCGACTAATTATAGGTCCGAGCGATGAAAGTATAACATCAATACAGGAGGCGATACTGGTGTCGATACCGATAACCTTTCCGCAGCTCATCAATGTCCTGAACGTTATGAATCTATCAAAACTAATCAAAATGATTATCAATTCGGTATTCGACGGTAACTATAAGATAATCGCTGCCAAACTGATGGTCATAAATGAAACGGTTAAATGTCGGACGATATGGACGGATGATGAATCCCGATTTGAACTGTTGGACACAGTTATCCGTCAACTGGTTCTGCATATTGTCGAAAAAGAGTCGCTACCAATACTCAGGCGTATTGTCATTGAATTGAGGCAAAACGGTAGCCAACGGGATACGGAAATGCTATCGATTGGTGCACTGGACGTAATGGTCGAACATATTATTGACTTATCGGAGATTAGCGGCCAAAACGATTCCGACTATTTATCACAATTTATCACTTGTTTTATATCACTGTTAGAGCGTATGAATGACACGGATTATATCCAACTGTTTGAAATCCGGTCACACCGTCAGCGAAAAGAGCTATTGTGTCATATTTTCGCGGCATTTCACGCAACACTGGCCCACTTTCCCGATCATTGGTCAGCGATGAAAATGACAGCCAATCGGGTCATACTATGCGCACTACAGGAGCTGTGCGCTATAATGAGCCGCGATTTCTTGGATCTAACTTTCGATGTACTGGTTTGGCGATCATTTTTTTCGTTGGCCATCAGTTTCCTAACCCAACGTACCCTTCAACTGGAATCCTATTCGCTGGCCAAACAAATGTCCATTTTGGATAACTACGGTCCCGATATGCGCGTACTGATGGGCTTCCAGTTGGTCGGCTGCTGGGATCAGTTGGGTTCCCTGAAAATCAATTTCATCCCGGCCCTGGTATCACCATTTTTGGAGGTAACACTGGTACCCGAAACTGATCTGCGGAAGGCAACGATTCCCATATTTTACGATATGATTAATGTCGAGTATAATTGTAATGGCAATTTCAAACAGGTTAGTTTAGTTATAATTACCGTAATTTTAACCCTAAATTTTTATTTATTAATACCCGATATTTTTTTTGTTTACACCCGATATATATATATATATATATGTTTAGGTCGAATGTGCGCTAATCGACAAAATCGATATACTGGTCAACAACGGTGCCGGCGATTCCGAATTTCGGGAATTGCTGTCAGCTATGTATGAATTAATTAATTAATTTTTTTTTAGTTTTTTTTAACTAAATATTTTTTAATTAAAAAATGTTGAAAAATAATTATCTAATTTTCTCTCTCTATTTCTACTATCAATTGCTATACAAAAATAAAACACATTATTACAGGAATAATGTTAAACAATTGTAAGACTCGTTTACTTTTATATCTCTCCCATCCCTCTCTCCCCTCCCATCCCCTCCCCCACAAACTTAATCCTATATTATATCTATTAATTATATATATATAATTTTTTTATTATTAATTAATTACCGGTTAATTTTTATTTTATTATTATTATTATTATTATTATTAGTCTAAACGAAAAACTAACACAATTGACGCCACTCTGGCGGGACGATGGCCACCGTTTTATCGGTTCACTATCGAAACTGTTGTCCCTATTGATCGACTACAGGACAGTCATGTCGGCCGATGGCGGCGATGGCGATTCGGTACTAATGTGTACGTATGCATTGTTACGATTTTATCGGGACGAAATATGTTCGGGTAATCGTACGGCGATTATGCTGAGGTATATTGAAAAACTATCGGCCCTACATATCCTACTGGGCAATTATGCCGAATCGGCATTTACACTACAGCTGCATACAAACCTACTGTCCTGGGAAGGGTCAGCGGAACTGGTGAAAAAAGAGCAACTATATCAGCAAATTATTGAATATTTTGATCGGGGCGCCTGCTGGGAGGAAGGTGTCCACGTGTGTAAGGAACTGGCACCGGTTTACGAGCGCCAGTATCAACTGGATAAGCTATCGCTAGTATTGAAAAGGCATGCCAATTTTTTGGATAAAATTTTAACGAAATTAAGGCCCGAAAACGAATATTTCAAAGTCGGTTTCTATGGCCTGGACTTTCCCGTATTTTTACAGGTAATGGTCCGGGGAGGACAGGGATGTGTGTGTGTGTGTGTGTTAATTGTTGTCCATTTTTTGTTTGTTTGCTTACCGTTAACCAGAATCGGGTATTCATATTTCGCGGACTCGAACTGGAAAAGATTGGCGCCTTCACTCAGCGCATCCAATCGGAGTTTCCCGCCGCTCAGCTGATGACCAAAAATATACCGCCCGACGACAGTATTACCGAAGCTCAGGCACAATGTATGTATAGATCTAATTAAAAATAAATAAACTATTGGTTTAATTACCGGTTTAGAAGTTTTAATGTTGTTGTTGTTGTTGTTTACGGGTATATAGATATTCAAATAGTGGCCGTCAAGCCGATTGCCGAACCGCCGTACATATCGAAATCAATGGACACTAACGGCGTCGGTAGTGGTTCATCGGTTCAGAATATGGTACCCGAACCGGCTCTTAGCTACTATAATACCAATTGTGTCCGCAAATTTATTTACGATCGACCCGTACAACGGGCACCGTTCGATCCGAACAATGAATTCAAATCCCTATGGATTGAACGAACCTGTTGTCAGATAGAGCATCGGCTGCCGGGTGTCCTACGGATGTTCGAAGTAGTGGCCACTCAGACCACTCAAGTATTGCCGATAGAGCACGCCTGCGAAACCATCGAGAATATGAATACCGAATTGTCGAAATTGATCTCAAATTTTACTTCGGATACAAAATACGAGTCAATATCGCCGCTATCGATGCGATTACAAGTAATTAAATGCCGATTATTTGATGAAAAAATTACCGATAATTAATTGATAATCACAAAATTTTTCTACGATTTTTAGGGTATCCTAGAGGCGGCTGTCAACGGTGGTGTTGCCAAATATATGGACGCATTTTTGATGCCAGCCTTTATTGCGGCCAATCCTAATCTGGCCGCACACGTTGTCCGACTGAAGTCGGGTATTGCACATCAGGTACGGATACTGGAAGGCGGTCTAACATTGCATGGCCGACTGGCACCGTTGGCCGTACGGCCACTGCATCAGCGACTGGTCGAACGATTTCAGACAATGCGGGCGCACATACATCAGTCAAACATCGATAGCCGGCCATCGATACTGTCGCAGCCGTTGCCACCGATTCCCGGCGGTGGCGGCGATACACACAAAAAGGCTGTACTGAACAGTGCGGCCGCAGCTTTTGCGGCCAACCCTATTGGCAGCAACGAAATGCTGGCAGTCTATGGCCATCAAATGCTAGACGAAAACATCTATTCCGTACCGCAAGATCAGGCCAACAATTGTTTGTCTCGGCCTCGAAGTGCCGGTTTCGAGAACGGAGGCGCCGCCCGAGTCCAACGATCCCGTTCTATACCCCGATCGCATCCAATCAATTCGGGTCTGAATACTATTCATTATTCATCGACAACATCCTCATCGTCAGCGTCATCGACGACCAGTACTAACACCAACACCAACAACAACAACAATACTGGTCCACCGTTACCGCCGCGTGCCTCGACATTGGAGCGCAATCATAGCCACAGTAGTACCGGCAGTAATTCGGACAGTAGGCCAGTACTGCCCCGACGGCAGCGCAAGTGTTCGACCGATTTGGAGTATAAGCTAATCGATATCGACATCGAAAGTATACCGTCGACGCCGACACTGTTGGCAGCTATCAAACGAGCGACACATTCGGCAACTGTCGACTACGGCAACATTGGCGGCGGCGGCGGCGGTACTACCGCTGATACTTCGGTGGTCAACAATAATAATAATAATCATCAAAACAATACTAGTCTTCTCGATTAAAACCTAACATACCTAACATTCCCCTCAAATTATTTTATTATATATATATGTTTGTATGAATTGATTTATTTTTATTTATTAATTTTAGTTTAAATATATAAATCAATTAATTAATTAATTAATTATTTTGTTTGTTTATTAATTATTTAAAATATTATTTTTTTTTTAAATTATAGATTATTATTATTATTATTAGATTTTTGATGTTTGAATTATAATTATTTAAGTTATTATTATTTTTTGATTGTTTTTTTTTTTAAATAAGTATTTTATACTATTTCAAGCTATTATATAATATATATATAATAAGCTATTTATATACTCAATATTTTTTTTAAATTTTTTATTTTGATGTAAATTTTTGTAATTGTAAAATTTTATTTATCTCCAGTATATAATATACTAGTAAATAGATTTTTTTATATATATATGTGTGTGATTTATTTTTTAATTATGTAATATTTAAAAATTATTATTGAATTTTTTTATATAAAATGTAAATTTTTCAAAAACTTTAAAAAAATATTGTATTTTTAGTTGATAACAGCAAAAATATTTTATATAAATATTTGTAATTAAAATATTAAGTGTAAGAATAATAATAATAATAATTTTAAAATAAATTAAACTTCAATCGATCAAATATGAAAAAAATTATTAATTAAATAATTTATTTATTATAATTTTATAATTTTCTCTATTTATTATTTCGTTACGTTATGTTTGGTTAATTTAGATAGGTTAGGATTAGATAAATTTTTTCAAATATTATATGTGATTTTTTACAGGTTTTAATTATTTGAGTTAGGTTAGGTTACGTTTGATAAATTTGCGTAATTTGTGCAAATCAACGTTATTTGTGTATATAGTGTACGTAATTTATGGATATACACGTCATTTGTAGATATCAACGTAATTTGTGTCTATAATAAGCGTAATTTATGTAAATTGACGTAATTAATTATTGTCACAGTAATTTATGGATATAAACATAATTTGTGTCTATAATAAACGTAATTTATGTAAATCAACGTAATTTATGAATATTAGCGTAATTTGCGGAAATCAACGTAATTTATTAATATCAAAATAATTTGTGTCTATAATAAACGTAATTTATGTAAATTGACATAATTAATTATTTTCAAAGTAATTTATGGATATAAACGTAATTTGTGTCTATAATAAACGTAATTTTTGTAAATCAACGTATTTTATGAATATTAACGTAATTTGTGGATATCAACGTCATTTGTAGATATCAACGTAATTTATGTAAATCAACGTAATTTGTAGATATCAACGAAATTTGTGTGTATCAACGTAATTTATGGATATCAACGTAATTTGTGGATATCAACGTAATTAGATTAGAGATTAGATTAGAGATTAGATTAGAGATTAGATTAGAGATTAGAGATTAGAGATTAGAGATTAGAGATTAGAGATTAGATGAGATAATACTAAATAAGTTTAACGTAATAATTCTTGTCATCGTAATTTATGAATATAAACGTAATTTGTGGATATCAACGTAATTTGTGTCTATAATAAATGTAATTTGTGTCTATAATAAACGTAATTTATGTAAATCAACGTAATTTGTGTCTATAATAAACGTAATTTATGTAAATCAGCGTAATTAATTGTCACCGTAATTTGTGTACAACGTCATTTGTGTTTATAATGTAAGTAATTTATAGTATTAATTATAATTTTATAAATGTTATTAATGATTCAATACAATTTAGTATAAGATAAATATATATAAAATTGTTTATTTTCCACTCTATACTACTGTATATACTACTTAATATTAAAAAATAATAAAATATTCTATAAATCATGTAATTCAGTAAAATATAAATCAAAAAATTTATTATTTAGTATTATTTAATTATTTTTACATTAAAAATTTTATATAAAGTATTTATATAATATGTGCTACTAAAAAATCAAAAACATTAATTATTTAGTTATTTTTATATTAAAAATTTTATATAATGGATTAACTTTTTTAATTTTTACACTATACTATTAATTATAATTTGTATAATTATAACTACTAATAATTTATATAATTATTACTACTAATAATTTGTGTATTACTTAATGTTTCAACAAAATAAAACTCAAAAATAATTGTCCATGATGCAACCCTAGAAAATTGAAAAATTTTAGACTATCTCACTTGTAAATAGTACTAATCAATCGATTTGATTACATAATCATTACAAACGTTATTACTGTCTCTGAAAATATTCTATTCATTGAATGTATTGTTAATTATATGGTTTATTGGGTACCAAATCATCGCTGTATTGACTGTATTCAGACAATACATTACATACTATATGTATGTATGGGTAAGCAATGCATCAAAAAATTATATTCCCATTTGTGCTAAAAAAAAATTATTTCCCGATTTTATTGCGGCGGCCAATCCTAATCTGGTCGCACACGTTGTCCGTACGGCCACTGCATCAGCGACTGGTCGAACGATTTCAGACAATGCGGGCGCACATACATCAGTCAAACATCGATAGCCGGCCATCGATACTGTCGCAGCCGTTGCCACCGATTCCCGGCGGTGGCGGCGATACACACAAAAAGGCTGTACTGAACAGTGCGGCCGCAGCTTTTGCGGCCAACCCTATTGGCAGCAACGAAATGCTGGCAGTCTATGGCCATCAAATGCTAGACGAAAACATCTATTCCGTACCGCAAGATCAGGCCAACAATTGTTTGTCTCGGCCTCGAAGTGCCGGTTTCGAGAACGGAGGCGCCGCCCGAGTCCAACGATCCCGTTCTATACCCCGATCGCATCCAATCAATTCGGGTCTGAATACTATTCATTATTCATCGACAACATCCTCATCGTCAGCGTCATCGACGACCAGTACTAACACCAACACCAACAACAACAATACTGGTCCACCGTTACCGCCGCGTGCCTCGACATTGGAGCGCAATCATAGCCACAGTAGTACCGGCAGTAATTCGGACAGTAGGCCAGTACTGCCCCGACGGCAGCGCAAGTGTTCGACCGATTTGGAGTATAAGCTAATCGATATCGACATCGAAAGTATACCGTCGACGCCGACACTGTTGGCAGCTATCAAACGAGCGACACATTCGGCAACTGTCGACTACGGCAACATTGGCGGCGGCGGCGGCGGTACTACCGCTGATACTTCGGTGGTCAACAATAATAATAATAATCATCAAAACAATACTAGTCTTCTCGATTAAAACCTAACATACCTAACATTCCCCTCAAATTATTTTATTATATATATATGTTTGTATGAATTGATTTATTTTTATTTATTAATTTTAGTTTAAATATATAAATCAATTAATTAATTAATTAATTATTTTGTTTGTTTATTAATTATTTAAAATATTATTTTTTTAAATTATAGATTATTATTATTATTATTAGATTTTTGATGTTTGAATTATAATTATTTAAGTTATTATTATTTTTTGATTGTTTTTTTTTTTAAATAAGTATTTTATACTATTTCAAGCTATTATATAATATATATATAATAAGCTATTTATATACTCAATATTTTTTTTAAATTTTTTATTTTGATGTAAATTTTTGTAATTGTAAAATTTTATTTATCTCCAGTATATAATATACTAGTAAATAGATTTTTTTATATATATATGTGTGTGATTTATTTTTTAATTATGTAATATTTAAAAATTATTATTGAATTTTTTTATATAAAATGTAAATTTTTCAAAAACTTTAAAAAAATATTGTATTTTTAGTTGATAACAGCAAAAATATTTTATATAAATATTTGTAATTAAAATATTAAGTGTAAGAATAATAATAATAATAATTTTAAAATAAATTAAACTTCAATCGATCAAATATGAAAAAAATTATTAATTAAATAATTTATTTATTATAATTTTATAATTTTCTCTATTTATTATTTCGTTACGTTATGTTTGGTTAATTTAGATAGGTTAGGATTAGATAAATTTTTTCAAATATTATATGTGATTTTTTACAGGTTTTAATTATTTGAGTTAGGTTAGGTTACGTTTGATAAATTTGCGTAATTTGTGCAAATCAACGTTATTTGTGTATATAGTGTACGTAATTTATGGATATACACGTCATTTGTAGATATCAACGTAATTTGTGTCTATAATAAGCGTAATTTATGTAAATTGACGTAATTAATTATTGTCACAGTAATTTATGGATATAAACATAATTTGTGTCTATAATAAACGTAATTTATGTAAATCAACGTAATTTATGAATATTAGCGTAATTTGCGGAAATCAACGTAATTTATTAATATCAAAATAATTTGTGTCTATAATAAACGTAATTTATGTAAATTGACATAATTAATTATTTTCAAAGTAATTTATGGATATAAACGTAATTTGTGTCTATAATAAACGTAATTTTTGTAAATCAACGTATTTTATGAATATTAACGTAATTTGTGGATATCAACGTCATTTGTAGATATCAACGTAATTTATGTAAATCAACGTAATTTGTAGATATCAACGAAATTTGTGTGTATCAACGTAATTTATGGATATCAACGTAATTTGTGGATATCAACGTAATTAGATTAGAGATTAGATTAGAGATTAGATTAGAGATTAGATTAGAGATTAGAGATTAGAGATTAGAGATTAGAGATTAGAGATTAGATGAGATAATACTAAATAAGTTTAACGTAATAATTCTTGTCATCGTAATTTATGAATATAAACGTAATTTGTGGATATCAACGTAATTTGTGTCTATAATAAATGTAATTTGTGTCTATAATAAACGTAATTTATGTAAATCAACGTAATTTGTGTCTATAATAAACGTAATTTATGTAAATCAGCGTAATTAATTGTCACCGTAATTTGTGTACAACGTCATTTGTGTTTATAATGTAAGTAATTTATAGTATTAATTATAATTTTATAAATGTTATTAATGATTCAATACAATTTAGTATAAGATAAATATATATAAAATTGTTTATTTTCCACTCTATACTACTGTATATACTACTTAATATTAAAAAATAATAAAATATTCTATAAATCATGTAATTCAGTAAAATATAAATCAAAAAATTTATTATTTAGTATTATTTAATTATTTTTACATTAAAAATTTTATATAAAGTATTTATATAATATGTGCTACTAAAAAATCAAAAACATTAATTATTTAGTTATTTTTATATTAAAAATTTTATATAATGGATTAACTTTTTTAATTTTTACACTATACTATTAATTATAATTTGTATAATTATAACTACTAATAATTTATATAATTATTACTACTAATAATTTGTGTATTACTTAATGTTTCAACAAAATAAAACTCAAAAATAATTGTCCATGATGCAACCCTAGAAAATTGAAAAATTTTAGACTATCTCACTTGTAAATAGTACTAATCAATCGATTTGATTACATAATCATTACAAACGTTATTACTGTCTCTGAAAATATTCTATTCATTGAATGTATTGTTAATTATATGGTTTATTGGGTACCAAATCATCGCTGTATTGACTGTATTCAGACAATACATTACATACTATATGTATGTATGGGTAAGCAATGCATCAAAAAATTATATTCCCATTTGTGCTAAAAAAAATTATTTCCCGATTTTATTGCGGCGGCCAATCCTAATCTGGTCGCACACGTTGTCCGTACGGCCACTGCATCAGCGACTGGTCGAACGATTTCAGACAATGCGGGCGCACATACATCAGTCAAACATCGATAGCCGGCCATCGATACTGTCGCAGCCGTTGCCACCGATTCCCGGCGGTGGCGGCGATACACACAAAAAGGCTGTACTGAACAGTGCGGCCGCAGCTTTTGCGGCCAACCCTATTGGCAGCAACGAAATGCTGGCAGTCTATGGCCATCAAATGCTAGACGAAAACATCTATTCCGTACCGCAAGATCAGGCCAACAATTGTTTGTCTCGGCCTCGAAGTGCCGGTTTCGAGAACGGAGGCGCCGCCCGAGTCCAACGATCCCGTTCTATACCCCGATCGCATCCAATCAATTCGGGTCTGAATACTATTCATTATTCATCGACAACATCCTCATCGTCAGCGTCATCGACGACCAGTACTAACACCAACACCAACAACAACAATACTGGTCCACCGTTACCGCCGCGTGCCTCGACATTGGAGCGCAATCATAGCCACAGTAGTACCGGCAGTAATTCGGACAGTAGGCCAGTACTGCCCCGACGGCAGCGCAAGTGTTCGACCGATTTGGAGTATAAGCTAATCGATATCGACATCGAAAGTATACCGTCGACGCCGACACTGTTGGCAGCTATCAAACGAGCGACACATTCGGCAACTGTCGACTACGGCAACATTGGCGGCGGCGGCGGCGGTACTACCGCTGATACTTCGGTGGTCAACAATAATAATAATAATCATCAAAACAATACTAGTCTTCTCGATTAAAACCTAACATACCTAACATTCCCCTCAAATTATTTTATTATATATATATGTTTGTATGAATTGATTTATTTTTATTTATTAATTTTAGTTTAAATATATAAATCAATTAATTAATTAATTAATTATTTTGTTTGTTTATTAATTATTTAAAATATTATTTTTTTTTAAATTATAGATTATTATTATTATTATTAGATTTTTGATGTTTGAATTATAATTATTTAAGTTATTATTATTTTTTGATTGTTTTTTTTTTTAAATAAGTATTTTATACTATTTCAAGCTATTATATAATATATATATAATAAGCTATTTATATACTCAATATTTTTTTTAAATTTTTTATTTTGATGTAAATTTTTGTAATTGTAAAATTTTATTTATCTCCAGTATATAATATACTAGTAAATAGATTTTTTTATATATATATGTGTGTGATTTATTTTTTAATTATGTAATATTTAAAAATTATTATTGAATTTTTTTATATAAAATGTAAATTTTTCAAAAACTTTAAAAAAATATTGTATTTTTAGTTGATAACAGCAAAAATATTTTATATAAATATTTGTAATTAAAATATTAAGTGTAAGAATAATAATAATAATAATTTTAAAATAAATTAAACTTCAATCGATCAAATATGAAAAAAATTATTAATTAAATAATTTATTTATTATAATTTTATAATTTTCTCTATTTATTATTTCGTTACGTTATGTTTGGTTAATTTAGATAGGTTAGGATTAGATAAATTTTTTCAAATATTATATGTGATTTTTTACAGGTTTTAATTATTTGAGTTAGGTTAGGTTACGTTTGATAAATTTGCGTAATTTGTGCAAATCAACGTTATTTGTGTATATAGTGTACGTAATTTATGGATATACACGTCATTTGTAGATATCAACGTAATTTGTGTCTATAATAAGCGTAATTTATGTAAATTGACGTAATTAATTATTGTCACAGTAATTTATGGATATAAACATAATTTGTGTCTATAATAAACGTAATTTATGTAAATCAACGTAATTTATGAATATTAGCGTAATTTGCGGAAATCAACGTAATTTATTAATATCAAAATAATTTGTGTCTATAATAAACGTAATTTATGTAAATTGACATAATTAATTATTTTCAAAGTAATTTATGGATATAAACGTAATTTGTGTCTATAATAAACGTAATTTTTGTAAATCAACGTATTTTATGAATATTAACGTAATTTGTGGATATCAACGTCATTTGTAGATATCAACGTAATTTATGTAAATCAACGTAATTTGTAGATATCAACGAAATTTGTGTGTATCAACGTAATTTATGGATATCAACGTAATTTGTGGATATCAACGTAATTAGATTAGAGATTAGATTAGAGATTAGATTAGAGATTAGATTAGAGATTAGAGATTAGAGATTAGAGATTAGAGATTAGAGATTAGATGAGATAATACTAAATAAGTTTAACGTAATAATTCTTGTCATCGTAATTTATGAATATAAACGTAATTTGTGGATATCAACGTAATTTGTGTCTATAATAAATGTAATTTGTGTCTATAATAAACGTAATTTATGTAAATCAACGTAATTTGTGTCTATAATAAACGTAATTTATGTAAATCAGCGTAATTAATTGTCACCGTAATTTGTGTACAACGTCATTTGTGTTTATAATGTAAGTAATTTATAGTATTAATTATAATTTTATAAATGTTATTAATGATTCAATACAATTTAGTATAAGATAAATATATATAAAATTGTT